CAAATATCACAAAATTTTATAGAGTAGATTTTGAGAAATCGTCGTCTGTGTACCAATGCTTTTTTCGCCGCCATGTTTGTTTGTCTAATTTAAAACACGCGCTACCGCTGACCGCCCGCAAAACTGTGTTCAGCCACCTTAAGAGACATAAATGATGAATGCGTTTGCAGATTGCCATGTGTGTTACGTTACTGGAGGAGTCACATAATCGTGCTGACAACTCCACGGAGAAACGCGTGAGATTGAAAGGTGATTGGTCAATTTAGAAGGGATGTTATTGGTCCTCTGTCAGTTAAGCCATGAGGTTATTGACTATGAAGACTCTCATTTGTCACTGGTGCGTCTCGATCTGTCTTTTTGTCACGGTTGCGCTGTGCACTGATAAATAATGAGATACAGCGTTCAGTGTGTGCTAAGGATACGGACTGTTAGTAGCTATTGACGGTTTGTGAGGATTGAGAAACCATCAACTGCTCTTAACGCTCCGTTACGGCGTGGCAGTATTGACTTTGCCTTTATTCTTAAACGTTTTCAGAAATTAAAAGGTTGAGAAAAAAGAACAAACAACTAAAGAAGGAAATTAAAGAGCTCAAGAGAGAAAAAGATTCTTTGACAGAAGAGCTTGAACAGCTAAGGGGTAGGTTGATCTATTTGCTGAACTGCCTTAAACAATATTATTATTCATTCGAAATGTTTTCCCGATTCTGATTGGCTGAAAGCACACGCATAATTTACCATAACCATCTACTGATGACCAAATTTGGAAGAATTTTGCGATTAATGAACCGATAACGTCAAAAGTGCAGCTTCCTTATAGGTTAATGCACCGTTAACCGAGAAGACCTGGGGACGAAGTTGAGTTGTTTTGGTTGTGAAAACAAAAATGGCGGGCAGTTCACTCGTTTCAAGAGTAAACACTAGGCGAAATAATAGCTAAAAACATGGCACGAACAGCAAGAAGCCAACTCAAAGGGCGACATCTGCTATTTGGGGAATATTTGCGGAGCTGAACAACCCTAAAAGCGCACTATCGAGGATGAACTGAACATTAATGGAGGTAAGCATGTTTTAGCTATGTTTTTAAACTAGGAATTATTTTGAATGAATAATAAAACAATTATTGAATTCGGCTTTCGTATCACATGAAGAATAATGGAGATCTGAGAGGGTGTTATCCGCCTCGATATACGGCATCGACGGATAACACCCTCCTCGATCTCCATAATTCATAAGATACTCAGCCTCATTCATTAATTGTTAAATAATGATTGCTAACGATAATGATAACAGCTATGATGATGGCTCTTAAACAAAGACCCCACAGTTAAAGGCTTTTCCACCTGTTGAAGAAAAAAACTCTGATTTAAACAGTCTCTGGATATAAGCACCCCTCTTCAAATTATCTGAAATGGAGGCAAGTTTCGACCATGACTCTTAGATCGCCTGTCACGTCAACTAACCAAGCGTCAATTTTTATCCGTTAAATCCCAATACCAACATATCATACATATTATTCATTTTTTATGGAATTAATGTTCAGACATCAAAATTCATCTGTGGTGATCAATCAGTTGTTGGTTTTCATGACCTGTACGTTTGATCAGGTAGTGTTATTGTTATGAAAAATTGGATACTGTGAATATTGGTTAGTGCTTAGTTGTAGTCAAACGTTTTGAACTCTGGAACCCTGATTTAAACAACTGTTTTGGAATCTTGACCGGTTAGTTTTCCTTTTTGTTAGTTCAATAACGACACAGCAGTTCAATAAGTACACAACAGATCAATAACCACACCAGTAGTTCAATGACTACAAATCAGTTCATTGAGCGTAAACTTCATGCAGCTGCGGGAAGAATAGCCACAAATACGTTAGTTATTTTTTAATAAGAATGCATAGCATTAAGTAAGGGGTAAATACTCATGTAGCTATGGTACGAGAACTAAATAGATAAATAGCTATGTTACACTGTTATTAAGTTCTAGTGAGCTCACTAATGTAGACGGGAACATAGACTG